GATTGAGAGATCAGTGGCAGATGGAATTTAATCCTGATAAATGTGAGCTGATGCACTTTGGAAGAAGGAACAAGATAAAGGAGAACTGAATGAATGGCAGGATATTAGGAAGCTCAGAGGGATCTTGGGGAACTTTTGCACAAATCCCTGAAGGTGGTAGGGCAGGTTAATAGGGGAGTTAGGGAGGGATATGGGATACTTGCCTTTCTCAGACGTGGTATGGATTATAAGAGCAAGGAGGTTATGTTGGAGCTGTACAGCACTTTGATGAGGCCACAGCTGGAGCACTGTGTGCAGTCCTGGGCCCCACACTATAGGAAGGATGTGATTACAGTGGAGAGGGTGCAGAGGAGATTCACGAGGATGTTGCCTGGGATGGAGCATTTCAGCGATAAAGAGAGGCTGGATAAGCTCAGGCTGTTTTCTTTGGAGCAGGGAAGTTGAGGGGGGACTCTGATAGAGGTGTCTAAGATTGAGGGGCATGGACAGGGTGGATAGAAAGCAGCTGTTCCCCTTAATTGAAGGGTTAATAACAAAGAAAAATAATTTTAAGGGAAAGGTAGGAGGTTTAGAAGGGATTTGGGGAAAAGGTTTTCTCACCCAGAGGGTGGTGGGGGTGTGGAATGCACTGCCTGGGAGGAAACCTCACAACCTTTAAAAAGTAATTGGATAAGAAAATTTAATTCAAGGTTATTGTCTCAGTGCAGGCAAGTCGGTATAAATGCAGGGAGTATTATATTTTAGGTATAAATGCAGGGAGAATTATATTTTAGGTATAAATGCAGGGAGAATTATATTTTGGGTATAAATGCAGGGAGAATTATATTTTAGGTATAAATGCAGGGAGTATTATATTTTAGGTATAAAGGCAGGGAGTATTATATTTTAGGTATAAATGCAGGGAGAATTATATTTTAGGTATAAATGCAGGGAGTATTATATTTTAGGTATAAATGCAGGGAGTATAGACTGGCTGGGCTGAAGGACCTTTTCTGCACTGTACGATTTTACGATTGTATGATATTTCCCTTCCTCATTTGCTGACTGTACATGGTCCGGATGCTCTGTATGAGCAAACCCAAATCTCACTAAATACCAACATTTACACCATGGAGAGTTTTAAAGAAATATTCTGCTCTTCTGTTCCTGTGACATATAAATTGTTCTGATGAGGGAGCTCAATGTAATATCCCAGTTTGTGTATGATGCAGAGCTGGGTGGGTGGGTGAGCTGTGAGGAGGATACAGAGATATTTCAGTGGGATTTGGACAGGCTGAGAAATACTTCATACATTAACTCATTGTCCCCTTTTTCTTATCTCTCCATTTCTTCCTCAGGTATTTTTACACCAAGAAAATTGACATCAATCTGTCATCAATCAAGTGTATTCATAACCTGGCGTCCAATTATGGTGTTACTGCAATTCGTGATTACTGCGATAAACTGTTTTATAAACTACTGCCCCAGGATCCTTCCTTCAAACACCAGCTCGAGCTGTATAACTATGCCGAGTCTGTGAAAGATCCTCTGCTGAAAGAGATTTGTATGGAGTATTTCGCTTGGAATTGTGAAACATTCATTAGGTCTCCGAGCTGGTATGAGGTGACTGGAGATCAGCTGAACACTCTCCTGCTCAGGTCAGACATTGTCATCTGGAATGAACTGACTTTGTTTAAAGCTGTTGAAACCTGGATCATTCACAAGAAGAAAACAGAGCTAACCCATGAGCTCATGGATAAGATACGCTTTCACATGATTGCTCCAGAAGACCTCTCCCGGATTCAGCTACAGTCAAAACTGTATGAAGAACATGATGGTTTCTTTCTCAAGAGATTTCTGAAAGCATTTGAGTTTCATTCAGTATCAGTTGAGCAGCTTAACAAAGAAAGGCATTTCTCTGACCTCAGCTTGGAGCCCAGAATTTATATATCCTCCGAATGGAGCGCTGTGTTAGACATTGACCCAATCAGCCACATGCGCTCCTCATCCTCCATGTACTATAACGGTTATCAGTATGTCCATCAGGTCAGCTTCACTCAGCCATCTTCACCAACCATTACCTTCCAAACTGCCAGGTTCACCAGCGCCTTCTACAATTCAGACACTGTATCATGGACTGCTCACTACCATACAAGTTCTCAAAGCTGTAAAAGGAGCAATGTGCGCTGTCCCTACAATATCTATCCCATTGCAACCTTAAACATGAAGAATCAGAACAAAGAGAGCTCTGTTCAGTACCAAAACAAAGTGCTCCTTCTTTGTAACAACAATTATGTATCATATGTGCATGACGTCAAGGAAGGCAATGCTATTCTCCCCTCCTTCAAAGGCCAAGGGCTCTTTTTCTTCGGCTGTGAATCAGGTTATTTCTCCACTCTCAAGTTTGCTATCCGGCCAATGTACAGGTGAAACAATATCAAGAAACAAGACCATGAACAGTTATTAACACGAACAATATTAGACTGTGTACTCTGTACATTTGAATCCACAAACAGTGTCATACGACACATTCTGACTGTGACATACACCAGGAAAAGTCAGATCCCAAAATGAAATCTGACTTGACAGGTATTTTTTACAAAGTTAACATGATGATCTTTCTCTGAAACACATTTACCATAGAATCCTTACAGTGCAGAAAGTGGCCATTCAGCCCATCAAGTTACACTGACCCCCTAAACAGCATCTCACCCAGACCAAGTGCCCCTACCCTTTCCCACAGCTAAACCACACATCTCTGGACACTAAATTTAGCATTGCCAATCCCCATAACCTGCATGTCTTTAGAATGTGGGAGGAAACCAGAGCAACCCCACACAGATAGTCACCCAATACTGGGATGGAACCTGGGTCCCTCGGGTGCTGTGAGGCAGCAGTGCTAACCACTGAGCCACCATACCACCCAGACACACAGCAAGGTGCGGACTCTGAAATACTTCTAAAAAATGGAATGGAACTGGAATGGGGATTGACCGTGACACCACAAACTCAACTCCAGCCACTCTGCAACTTCTTAACATCTGGGGGTTCGGCTTCTGTAACACACAAGGTCTATGGTTATGAAATGTCTCAGACACTACCATCACCATCCCTGGATATGCCCTGTCCCACTGGCAGGACAGACCCAGCAGAGGGGGTGGCACAGTGGTATAGAGTCCAGAGGGAGTTGCTCTGGGAGTCCTCAACATTGACTCCGGACTCCATGAAGTCTCATGGCTTCAGGTTAAACATGGACAAGGAAACCTCCTACTGATTACCACACACTGTCCTCCCTCAACTGATGAATCAGTATTCCTCAATGTTGAATAACACTTAGAGGAAGCACTGAGGATGGCAAGAGCACAAACCCCATTCCATAACCATGTCCACCACTGGGAATCTAACAATCCCTAACTGAAGCAGACTTAAAGACTTAAAGTCCTCTGTAATAGAGAATTTAGGGAGCTTGGCAACAGATTAAAAAGCAAAACCTCAAAAGTCATAATCTCTGGATTACTCACTGTGCCACATTCTAGAAAAAAAACAACAAAGAGATTCGACCAGATAGATGTGTGACTCAAAGGTTTGTGCAGGAGGGAGGGTTTTAGATTCCTGGATCACTGGGACCATTTCTGGGGAAGGTGGGACATGTAGATCCAAGCAGGAGGGTTTTTTAGTGGTACTGGTTTGGGGCTTTTAATGAATTAGTCCAGGAGAGGGAGTACAGGGTGAAGGTGCAACTGGGGGGGGGGGGGGGGATGTGCAGACAAATGAAGAAGAGTAACCAAATCAGTTTGGCATTTGTCATTTATTTAAATGCAAAGAACCTCGTAAGGACAATGATTGAGGGTGCTAATTAATGAGGGTTATTTTTATTCACTTGTGTAACATGGGCATTGCTCATTTCTTGCCCATCCCTAGTTGCCCTTGAGAAGGTGGTGATGAGCTGCCTACTGTAACCACTACAGACCGTGTGCTGTAGGTTGACCATGATGACCTTACGGAGGGAATTCCAGGATTCTTACCCAGTGACAGTGAAGGAACGGCAATAAATTTCCAAGTCAGGATGGCGAGTGACTTGGAGGGGAACTTGGAGATGGTGGTGTTCCCATGTATCTGCTGCTAGATGGAAGGGGAATGGGTTTTGAAGATGAGGATCTTTGGTGAATCTCTGCAGTGTATCTTGTAGATAGTACACACTGCTGCTACTGAGCGTCGGTGGTGGAGGGAGTAAACATTTGTGGATGTAGTGCCAATCAAGCGGCTGCTTTGTCCTGGATGGTGTCAGAAGTCACACAGCACCAGGTTATAGTCCAACAGGTTTATTCGAAATCACAAGCTTTCAGAGCCTCACTCTTTGTTCAGGTGTTAGTGAGAGAGACAGTATCAGACACAGAATTTATCAGTAAAAGATCAAAGGGTCACACAACTGATGAGAATGTACTAAACAAACCTAAGATGCTGTTAAATCTTCAATCAGTCAGAAGGTTTTAATTGATTACGATGTATATGTAATCCCAGAATTCCATTCAAGTCACGAAACAAAGAACAAAGAGAACAAAGAAAATTACAGCACAGGAACAGGCCCTTCGGCCCTCCAAGCCTGCGCCGATCCAGATCCTCTATCTAAACCTGTCACCTATTTTCCAAGGATCTGTATCCCTCTGCTCCCTGCCCATTCATGTATCTGTCGAGATACATCTTAAATGACGCTATCGTGCCCGCCTCTACCACCTCCGCTGGAAACGCGTTCCAGGCACCCACCACCCTCTGCGTAAAGAACTTTCCGCGCATATCTCCCTTAAACTTTTCCCCTCTCACCTTGAAATTGTGACCCCTAGTAATTGAGTCCCCCACTCTGGGAAAAAGCTTCTTGCTATCCACCCTGTCTATACCTCTCATGACTTTGCAGACTTCAATCAGGTCCCCCCTCAACCTCCATCTTTCTAATGTAAATAATCCTAATCTACTCAACCTCTCTTCATAGCTAGCGCCCTCCATACCAGGCAACATCCTGGTGAACCTCCTCTGCACGCTCTCAAAAGCATCCATATCCTTTTGGTAATGTGGCGACCAGAACTATACGCAGTATTCCAAATGTGGTCGAACCAAAGTCCTATACAACTGTAACATGACCTGCCAACTCTTGTACTCAATACCCCGTCCGATGAATGAAAGCATGCCGTATGCCTTCTTGACCACTCTATCCACCTGCGTTGCCACCTTCAGGGTACAATGGACCTGAACACCCAGATCTCTCTGTGCATCAATTTTCCCCAGGGCTTTTCCATTTATCGTATAGTTCGCTCTTGAATTGGATCTTCCAAAATGCATCATCTCGCATTTGCCTGGATTGAACTCCATCTGCCATTTCTCCACCCAATTCTCCAATCTATCTATATTCTGCTGCATTCTCCGACCGTCCCCTTCACTATCTGCTACTCCACCAATCTTAGTGTCATCTGCAAACTTGCTAATCAGACCATCTGTACCTTCCTCCAGATCATTTATGTATATCACAAACAACAGTGGTCCCAACACGGATCCCTGTGGAACACCACTGGTCACAGTTCTCCATTTTGAGAAACTCCCTTCCACTACAACTCTCTGTCTCCTGTTGCCCAGCCAGTTCTCTATCCATCCAGCTAG